CAACGGAAACTCATAAATAAAGCCTTAGCTCCCTGGGACAGAGCACCTGGGGAAAAAAAAAGGTGTTTATGAGTTCTGCTGCAGCAGACCTAAAAGTACCTGCCCACCAGCCCTGAATGAAAAAAGGAGCTCACAACTCAGCACTTGAGCTCCAATAAAGGACAGACTGTCTCCTCAAGCAGCTCCCTGACCCCCATATATCCAAAGAGTCACCTCATAAAGGAGAGATCACGCTGATATTTAGCAGGTATCCTTCAGGGACAAAGATAGCAGAAAAAGAAACTGGTAGCAACCGTTACTGTTCTGCAGCTGCTGCAGGTGATCCCCAGGCAAGCAGGGCCTGGAGTGGACCTCAGCAGCCCTACAGCAGAGGGGCCAGACTGTTAGAAGGAAAACTAAGAAACAGAAATAACTTCATTATCAACAAATTAGATGCCCACTCAGAGACCCAATCTGAAAGTCAGCAACTACAAAGACGACAGGTGGATAAATCCACAAAGATGGGAAGAAACCAGTGCAAAAAGGATGAACACACCTGAAACCAGAACACCTCTCATCCTACAAGGGTTCAAAACTCCGCACCAGCAAGGGAATAAGACTGGATGGAGAATGAGTGTAATGAAATGACAGATTCAGACTTCAGAAGGTGGGTAATAAGGAACTTCCATGAGCTAAAAGAACATGTTCTAACCCAATGCAAAGAAACTAAGAACGTTGAAAAAAGATTTGATGAAATGCTAATGAGAATGGACAAATTAGAGAGGAATATAAGTGAATTGATGAAGCTGAAAAACGCAACCGAGAACTTCACAAAGCATGCACAAGTTTCAACAGCCGAATTGACCAAGCAGAAGAAAGGATATCAGAGGTCGAAGAGCAATTCAGTGAAATAAAATGAGGAGGCAAGATTAGAGAAAAAGGGGTAAAAAGGAATGAACAAAGTATCCAAGAAATGTGCAAGCCTAAACAAGTAAGAAGTCAAAACCCTGAATAGACCAATAACAAGGTCTGAAGTTGAGGAAGCAATTAAGAGCCTACCACCCAAAAAAAGCCCAGGTCCAGACGGGTTCACAGCCAAATTCTACCAGACATACAAAGAGGAGCTGGTACCATTCCTTCTGAAACTATTCCAAATAATCCAAAAAAGAGGGAATCTTTCCCAAATCATTTTATGAGGCCAACATCATCCTGATACCAAAACCTGGCAGATACTCAACCAGAAAAGAAAACTTCAGGCCAATATCCATGATGAACACTGATGCAAAAATCTTCAATAAAATACTGGCAAGCCAATTGCAACAGCACATCAAAAAGATTATCCACCATGATCAAGTAGGCTTCATCCCGGGGATGCAAGGCTGGTTCAACATACACAAGCCTATAAATGCAATTCACCACATAAACAGAACCAAAGACAAAAACCACATGATTATCTCAATTGATACTGAGAAGGCCTTTGACAAAATTCAACAGCCCTTTATGCTAAAAACGCTCAATAAGCTAGGTATCGATGGAACGTATCTCAAAATAATAAAAGCTATTTATGACAAACCAACAGCCAATATCATACTGAATGGGCAAAAACTGGAAGCATTCCCCTTGAAATGTGGCACTAGACAAGGATGCCCTCTCTCACCACTCCTATTCAATATGGTACTGGAAGTTCTAGCCAGAGCAATCAGGCAAGAAAAAGAAATAAAGGGTATTCAAATAGGAAAGGAGGAAGTCAAATTGTCTCTATTTGCAGATGACATGATTGTATATCTAGAAGACCACATCATCTCAGCCCAAAGTCTCCTGAAACTGATAAGCAACTTCAGAAAAGTCTCAGGATAAAAAATCAATGTGCAAAAATCACAAGCATTCCTATTCACCAATAACAGACTTAAAGAGAGCCAAATCAAGAATGAACTGCCATTCACAACTGCAACAAAGAATAAAATACCTAGGAATACAGCTAACAAGGAACGTATAGGACCTCTTCAAGGAGAACTACAAACCACTGGTCAACGAAATAAAAGAGGACACAAACAGATGGAGAAATATTCCATGCTCATGGTTAGGAAGAATCAATATCGTGAAAATGGTCATACTGCCCAAAGTAATTCACAGATTCAACGCTATCCTCATCAAGCTACCAATGACCTTCTTCACAGAACTGGAAAAAAACACCTTAAACTTCATATGGAATGAAAAGAGAGAATGCATAGCCAAGTCAATTCTAAGCAAAAAGAACAAGGCGGGAGACATCACACTACCGGATTTCAAACTATACTACAAGTCTACAGTAATCAAAACAGCATGGTACTGGTACCAAAACAGAGATATAGACCAATGGAACAGAACAGAGGCCTCGGAGACAACACAACGTATCTACAACCATCTGATCTTTGACAAACCTGACAAAAACAAGCAATAGGGAAAGGATTCCCTGTTTAATAAATGGTGTTGGGAAAACTGGCTAGCCATGTGCAGAAAGTAGAAACTGGACCCCTTCCTGACACCTTACACTAAAATTAACTCTAGATGGATTAAAGACTTAAACATAAGACCTAACACCATAAAAACCCTAGAAGAAAATCTAGGCAAAACCATTCAGAACATAGGCGTAGGCAAGGACTTCATAACCAAAACACCAAAAGCATTGGCAACAAAAGCCAAAATAGAAAAATGAAACCTAATCAAACTCCACAGCTTCTGTACGGCAAAAGAAACAGTCATTAGAGTGAATCGGCAACAAACAGAATGGGAGAAAATTTTTGCAGTTTACATCTGACAAAGGGCTGATATCCAGAATTTACAAAGAACAAAAACAGATTTACAAGAAAAAACAAATAAGCCCATTCAAAAGTGGGCAAAGGATATGAACAGATACTTTACAAAAGAAGACATACATGAGGCCAACAAACATATGAAAAAATGCTCATTATCACTGGTCATTAGAGAAATGCAAATCAAAACTACATTGAGATACCATCTCACGCCAGTTAGAATGGCGATCATTAAAACATCTGGAGACAACAGATGCTGGAGAGGATGTGGAGAAATAGGAACACTTTTACACTGTTGGTGGGAGTGTAAATTAGTTCAACCATTGTGGAAGACAGTGTGGCGATTCCTCAAGGACCTAGTAATAGAAATTCCATTTGACCAATTACTGGGTATATATCCAAAGGATTATGAATAATTCTACTATAAGGACACATGCATGTAAATGTTCATTGCAGCACAGTTTACAATAGTAAAGATCTGGAATCAACCCAAATGCCCATTGATGATAGACTGGAAAGGGAAAATGTGGCACATATACACCATGGAATATTATGCAGCCATCAAAATCAATGAGTTCGTGTCCTTTTAGGGACATGGATGAAACTGGAAGCCATCATTCTCAGCAAACTGACACAGGAGCAGAAAATCAAACACCGCATGTTCTCACTCATAGGCAGGTGTTGAACAATGAGAACACATGGACACAGGGAGGGGAGCACTAAACACTGGGGTCTGCTGGAGGGAAATAGGGGAGGGACAGCTGCGGGAGGGGAGTTTGGGGGGGATGGCATGGGGAGAAATGCAGATATAGGTGAGGGGGAGGAAGGCAGTAAATCACACTGCCACGTGTATACCTATGCAACAATCTTGCATGTTCTTCACATGTATCCTGAAACCTAAAATGCAATTAAAAAATAAACATACATAAACATAAAAAAAAGATATACACACAAATATTCACATATATATATACACACATATCTACATATATATGTTTGCAGTATACTAATTAAAAGGTAAATTCTTAATGATCCATAAAAAGAAAATGACAAACCAGATGTAGTGGCTCACAGTTGTAATTCCAGCACAGTGGGAGGTTGAGCGGGGAGGATCACTTGAGCCAAGAGTTTGAAACTGGCCCAGGAAACATGGTGAGACTCCATCTCTACACAAATATAAAAATTAGATGGGCATGGCGGCTCTCCCAGTTACTCAGGAGGCCAAGGTGGGAAGATCACTCAAGCCAAGAAGGCAGGAGTTGCAGTGAGTCGAGATCACACCACTGCACTTCAGCCTGAATGACAAAGCAGTAACTTGTCTCAAAAAAGAAAGAAAAAATTGATACCCCAGAAAACTTTAAAATATCTATATATTCACAAATGTATATAACTATAGTATATTAATCAAAAAGTAAATTCTTAGTACTTCATGGCAAGCAAAGGACAGGCCATGGATGATGGTTCATATTTGTAATCTCAGCATTTTGAGAGGCCCAGGAAAGAGGATTATTTGTATCCAAAAGTTTAAGACCAGCCTACCTGAACAACATGGTAAAACCCCATCTATATTAATAATACAAAAATTAGCCCGTCTTGGTGGCACGCACCTATAATCCCAGGTACTCAGGAGGCTAAGGTAGGAGAATCACTTGAACCCAGGAGGCCGAGGCTGCAGTGAGCTGAGATCCTGCCACTGCACTCTAGACTGGGCAACTGAGTGAGACTCCATCACAGAAAAAAAAAAAAAAAAAAAAAGACCACCCTAAGCAACAGAGTGAGAACCAACCTCTCAAACCAAATCAGAAATTAGCCAGAAATGGCAACATCAGCGTGTAGTCCCACTTACTGAAGATGATGACTGGGGAAAATCACTGGAGGCCAAAAGGACAAAGCTGCAGTGGAGACATGATCACATGATGACACCCAAGCCTGGGTGACAGCAAGAGGATAAAAAAAGGTTAACAGTAAAAAATATTAAAAAAGAAGAAATGAAATGAGCAGCTACCATATCCGGGGCAAAGACAAACAGCCAAAGCAGAGGCCCATTCCACTCCGAACTCCCAGACGACAAGAAAAACAATGAGACATTAAATAAAACAGACCACACTGCAAAATGACACAGGCAGAATTTACTACAAATTTGTCAGAAATACACTTTCAAGATTAAAAGTTGACACAGGCATTTAGCCAAAGCACACTGCTAGGAACTAAACACATGAGAGTCCAGGGAAGCTTTGGGATTCTAGATGCAGTTGAAAATCAGACATATAGAGCTGGATAGAGAAGAGGCCATTCATTTTAATGCGAGTGCACTGCAGAAACAGTCACCATGAAAGAGATGAGACGAGTGTCCACTAAGAGGCAGGAGAAAAGCCTGAAGAGGCCGTCGTGAGGCAGGAACTGAGGTAAAAAAGTCCACTGTAAAACAGAAGTTGCATCTTCAGAGGCAGACGTGACTAAGCAGATGGTCTTGGAGACGCCAGTGTGTACAAAAGAAAGACCTGCCAAAAGGGTTGAAAAACAGGTATTAAATAAGCCTCGGAAGGCCCACGTAAGATAATAGCTAGGCTTTGAGAGACAGCTTTGAGGAAAGCGCTGGGACTGTCTGGACCACTGGGAGGCTGAAGGAGGGCCTGAAAAGCCCATTTGAGAAAGGCTGAGGTGTACAGAGGTTACCAAGGAGTGGGGAGAAGCTGGACCAACCGGGGTTTTGCAAGGCAAGAGTTGGGCTTCCAGACACAAAAGGGAGGAAGAGCTGGGCCAAAAGAGGCTGACCTGAAGACATTCTGGGCCCGGAGATGATGTCAGAAGACCAACGCTGGGCATGAAAGTGCCACCAGGAGGCACCAGCTTGGCCTGATGGGGCCATGGGGAGGCTCGTGGTGGGCCCTGTGGATAGAGGTTGCCACAGAGGCAGGAGCCTGGCTGAGCAGAGGCCACAGTGAGGCCACGAGTTGGGTCTGGAGGGTCCACTGAGAGGCAGAGTCTGGGCCCAGAGGGGTCTGGCGCAGGCAGGAGCCAGGCCTTAGGAGGCTGGGCCCGGAGAGGAAGCTTCGGGTCTGGACAGGACGCCGGGAGGCAGGAGCTGACCCAGGAGAAACCATGAGAGGTGAGCTGGGCCAAGAAAGGCTGGTGCGAGGGAGGACCTGGGCCCAAACTCAAGACCAGTGCCAGGTGAGAGCTGGGTCCAGAGACGTCTGCCAGAGGCATGAGCTGGGCCTCAACTGGCCAGCGTTGAGGGCGGCACTGGGCCTGTGGATGCAGCCGGTAGGCAGGCAGGCAGGATCTTGGCCTGGGGAAGCCGCCGGCAGGCAGGGCTGCTGCTAGGGAGGCTGGGGGGATGCCAGAGCTGGGCCTGGAGAGGCCACTGTCAGGAGGTAGCTGGGCCTGTAGAGGCCACCGGGAGACAGAAGGGACGTCCGGGAGGCATCACTTGAGGAAGCTTCGGGCTGATGGACGAAAGGCCGCCGGGAGCTGGCCAGGAGCCCAGCCAAAAGAGGCTGCCGGGAGGCAAAACAGCCTGTAGATGTGGCCAGGAGGAGGATCCAGGCCTGGGGAGGCCACCAGTAGGGAGACAGAGGCTAAGCCTCCTGGAAAGGCCAACAGGAGGCAGGAGCTGGGCCCCAGAGGGCCACTGGGAGGCAAGAGCTGGCCCTGGAGAAGCCCACATAATGATATATTGCACCCATGTTGAGTTCTGCCGGGAGGGCAGGAGCTAGGCCTGCAGAGGCGGACTTCAGGACCCAATGCTTAGGCCTCCCCAGGACAGCCAGAGGAGGCAGCATGAGCCGGGCTGGCAGAAGCCGACTCGGGAATGTCTGGGGCCTGGAGACACCATGGGAGGGCAGGAGCCAAGCCTGGAGAAGAAGTCTGGTGAGGCATGAGCTGAATGGGCCTGGACAGCCTGAATCGAGCACCTGAAATTTCGGGCCTACAAAGGCCGTTGGGAGCTGTGCAGGCACCGAGTCCACAGAGGTTGCTGAGAGGCAAATTCAGAGGTTGAGCCCGTAGACACCACCAAGAGGAGGAGCTGGGCCCCGAGAGGCCTACCTAAAGACGTTCTGGGCTCAGAGAGGATGCCAGAAGGCCAACGCTGGGCCTGGGAGGGCCGCCAGGAGGCACTGGGAGGCCGGGGGCGGGGACTGTGGATACAGGATACCACAGAGGCAGGAGCTGGGCCTGAGCAGAGGCCATGGTGATGCCACGAGCTGGACCTGGAGGGTCCACTGAAAGGCAAAGTCTGGGCCCAGAGGGGCCTAGTGCAGGGAGGAGCCGGGCCTAGGAAGGCCGGGCCCAGAGAGGAAGCTTTGGGCCTGGACAGGCTGCCGGGAGGCAGGAGTTGGCCCATGAGAGTCCGTGATAGGTGAGCCTACACTTGAGGCCAGCGCGAGGTGAGAGCTGGGTCCAGAGAGGTTTGCCACAGGCACGAGCTGGGCCTCAATGGGCCAGTGTGAGGGAGGTGCTGGGCCTGTGGACACAGCCAGGATGCAGGCAGGCAGGCAGGATCTTGGCCTAGGGAAGCCGCCAGCAGGCAGCAGCTGGTGCTGGGGAGGCTGTGGGGAGTGCAGGGCTGGGCCCGGAGCGGTCAATGTCAGGCAGTAGCAGGGCCTATCGGGACCACGGGGAGGCAGAATGGAGGCCTGGAAAGCCCCACTTGAGAAAGATTCTGGCTGACAGAGGAAGGGCCACTGGAAGCTGGCCAGCAGCCGAGCCAAAAGAAGCTGCCTGGAGGCAGGACATGGGCCGGTAGACGAAGCCGGGAGGATGATCTGGGCCTGGGGAGGCTGCCAGAAGGGAGGCATAGGCTGGAACTCCTGGAGAGGCTGCAGGGAGGCAAAAGCTGGGCCCCAGGGGGCCGTTGGGAGGCAGGAGCTGGCCCTGGAGGGGCCCATGTGAGGGCGTTTTGTACCCATGGAAAGGGATGCCAGGAGGGCAGGAGCTGGGACTGGAGAGGCCGACTTCAGGACCTAATGCTTGGGCCTGCCGAGACCAGCAGGAGGAGGCTGGAACCAGGACGGCAGAAGCTGACTTGGGGACGTTTGGGACTTGGAGGAGCCCTGGGAGGGCAGGAGCTGAGCTGGAGAGGCCAGCGTGAGGCATGAGCTGGGTGGGCCTGGAGAGCCTGATCGAGGGCCTGAGCTTTCGGGCCTACAGAGGCCACCAGGAGCTGGGTAGGAGCCGAGTCCACAGAGCTTGCTGTGAGGTGAGGATGAAAGGTGGGCCCGTAGACGCCGCTGGGAGGAGCTGGGCCCCAAGAGGCTGACCTGAAGACGTTCTGGAAACAGAAAGGATGCTAGAAGACCAACGCTGGACCCGGGAAGGCCACCAGGAGGCACCGGCTTGGCCTGAGGGGGCCACGGGGAGGCAGAGGGCTGGGCCCATGGAAACAAGCTGCCACAGAGGCAGGAGCTGGGCTGAGCGGAGGCCACGATGAGGCCACGAGCTGGGTCTGGAGGGTCCACTGAGAGGCAGAGGCTGGGCCCAGAGTGGCCTAGTGCAAACAGGAGCCGGGCCTTGGGAGGCTGGGCCTGGAGAGGAAACTTTGGGCTTGGACAGGCCGCCAGGAGGCAGGAGCTGGCCCTGGAGGGGCCCATGTGACAATGTATTGCGCCATGTTGGGGGACCGCCGGGAGGGCAGGAGCTGGGCCTGCAGAGGCAGACTTCAGGACCCAATGCTTGGGCCTTCCCAGGCTAGCGGGAGGAGGCAGCAGTAGCCGGGCTGGCAGAAGCCAATTCGGGAACATCTGGGGCCTGGAGACGCCCTGGGAGGGCAAGAGCCGAGCCTGGAGAGGCCAGCGTAAAGCACGAGCTGGTTGGACCTGGACAGCCTGAGTTGAGCACCTGAGCTTTCGGGCCTACAAAGGCCGTCAGGAGCTGGGCCGGCGCCGAGTCCACAGAGCTTACTGAGAGGCAAATTCGGAAGTTGGGGCCATAGACGCCGCTGAGAGGAGGAGCTGGGCCCCCAGAGGCCTACCTGAAAACGTTCTGTGCCCAGAGAGGATGCCAGAAGGCCAATGCTGGGCCCGGAAGGGCCGCCGGGAGGCACTGGCTTGGCCAGGATGGGGCCATGGGGAGGCTGGGGGCTGGGCCTGTGGATACAGACTGCCACAGAGGCAGGAGCTGGGCCTAAGCAGAGGCAACGGTGATGCCATGAGCTGGGCTTGCAGGGTCCACTGAAAGGCGGAGGCTGGGCCCGGAGAAGAAGCTTCGGGTGTGGACTGGCCACCGGGAGGCAGGAGTTGGCCCAGAGGAGTCCATGACAGGCGAGTTGGGCTGAGGAAGGCCGGTGTGAGGCAGGACCTGGGCCTAGACTCGAGGCCAGCGTGAGACGAGAGCTGGGTCCAGAGAGGTTTGCCACAGGCATGAGCTGGGCCTCAACGGGCCAGTGTGAGGGAGGTGCTGGGCCTGTGGACAAAGCCGGGATGCAGGCAGGCAGGCAGGATCTTGGCCTGGGGAAGCCACCAGCAGGCAGCAGCCGGAGGAGGCAGTGGGGAGTCCAGAGCTGGCCCCGGAGTGGCCAAAGTCAGGTGGTAGCAGGGCCTATTAGGGCCACGGGGAGACAGAATGGAGGCCTGGAAAGCCCCACTTGAGAAAGCTTCGGGCCAACAGAAAGGCCGCTGGAAGCTGGCCAGGAGCCGAGCCAAAAGAAGCTGCCGGGAGGCAGGATGTGAGCCGGTAGACATGGCCAGGAGGATGATCTGGCCTGGGGAGGCCGCCAAAAGGGAGGCCTATGCTGGACCTCCTGGAGAGGCTGAGGAGAGGCAGGAGCTGGACCCCAAGGGGCTGTTGGGAGGCCGGAGCTGGCCCTGGAGGGGACCACGTGAGGACGTTTTGTGCCCATGGGGAGGAGACGCCAGGAGGACAGGAGCTGGGTCTGGAGAGGCCGACTTCAGGACCCAATGTTTGGAACCACCGAGGCCAGCAGGAGGAGGCCAGAACCGGGCCGGCAGAAGTCTACTTGGGGACATTTGGGGCCTGGAGGCTCCCTGGGAGGGCAGGAGCCGAGCCTGGAGATGCCATCGTGGGGTATGAGCCGGGTGGGCCTGGAAAGCCTGAGTCGAGGGCCTGAGGTTTTGGGCCTACAGAGGCTACTGGGAGCTGGGTAGGAGCCGAGTCCACAGAAGTTGCTGCGAGGTGAGGATGAAAGATGGGCCTGTAGACGTCGCCGGGAGGAGGAGCTGGGCTCTGAGAGGCCGACTTGAAGACGTTCTGGACATGGAGAGGATGCCAAAAGGCCAACACTGGGCCCAGGAAGGCTGCCGGGAGGCACCGGCTTGGCCCAAAGGGGCCACAGGGAGGCCAGGGGCTGGGACTGTTGAAACAGGCTGCCACAGAGGCAGGAGCTGGGCCGAGCCGAGGCCATGGTGAGGCCACGAACTGGGTCTGGAGGGTCCATGGAGAGGTGGAGCCTGGGCCCAGAGGGGCCTAGCGCAGGCAGGAGCTGGGCCTTGGGAGGCCGGCCTGGAGAGGAAGCTTCGGGCCTGGCATGGCCACCGGGAGGCAGGAGCTGGCCCGGGAGAGTCCCTGAGAGGCGAGCTGGGCTGAGAAAGGCTGGTGTGTGGGTAGACCTGGGCCCAGACTTGAGGCCCATGCCAGGCGAGAGCTGGGACCAGAGACGTCTGCCAGAGGCATGAGCTGGGCCTCAAGTGGCCAGTGTGAGGGAGGTGCTGGGCCTTTCAATACAGCTGGGAGGCAGGCAGGATCTTGGCCTGGAGAAGTCATCAGCAGGCAGCAGCTGGTCCTGGGGAGGCTGCAGGGATGCCGGGGCTGGCCCTGGAGAGGATATTGTCAGGCGGTAGCTGGGCCTGTCCAGGCCACCGGGAGGCAGAAGGGAGGCCCGGAAAGCCCCACTTGAGGGAGCTTCGGGCCAACAGAGGAAAGGCCATCGGCAGCTGGCCAGGAGCCGAGCCAAACGAGGCTGCCAGGAGGCAGGAACTGGGCCTGTAGATGCGGCCAGGAGTAGGAGCCAAGCCTAAGGACACCACCAGAAGTGATCAGAGGCTGGGCCTCCTGGAGAGGCTGACGGATCCAAAGGGGCCGTTGGGAGGCAGGAGCTAGCCCAGAAGGGGCCTATATGAGGAAGTTTTGAGCCTGGAGAGTCCACCTGATGGGTAGAAGCTTGGCCTAATGAAATCAGTGTTAGGCAGGAGCTGGGCCTGTCAAGGCTGCTGGGAGGCCAGCAGTTTTGCAGGGAAAACTTTCATGAGGTAAGACTTGGTCCTGGAGAGTCCATTGTCATCCAGTAGCTATGCCTGTTTAAGCCATTTTTCCTCAGAAGTTTCTGCTGGAGAACTTGAATTGAGAAAGTTTTGGGCCTACAAAGGCCACAAGGAGCTGTGTAGGAGCTGATCCAAAGGAGGGTGTCAGGCAGGAGTTGGGCCTGGAGACGCAACTGCAAGGAAGAGCTGCACATGGAAAGGCCCACTTCAGGAAGTTCTGGGCCTGGAGACGCTGCCAAAAAGCAGAAGCTTGGCCAGAATGGCCACTGTGATGCATGAGCTTTGCCTAGACAGGCCGCTGGGAGGCAGCAGCTGGGCCTATAGAGGCTGCTGAAAGGCAGGAGCTTGGCCTGGGGGCACTGTGGTGAATCACACGCTTGGCCTGGGGTGTCTGCTGTGAGGCAGAGCTTGGGCCTGTAGGGGCCTACTGGGGGCAGGAGTTGGATCTGAAATGGCAGATTTGAGAAATCTGTCAGTCTGGAGAGGCCACAGAGATGCAGGAACTGGGCCTCAAGAGGCCACCGAGAGGCATGAGCTATACCTAAAGAGGCCAGTGTGAGACAGGAGCTGTGCCTGAACAGGGTCACTTGAGGAAGTTTTGGCCTGGACAGCCTGTCAGGGGACAGGCGTTGGGTCTGCAGAGGCCACTGTAAGCTGGTCCTAATGAGGTTAGTGTGAGGCAGGACCTGGGCTTGTCAAGGCTACCAGGAGGCAAGTAGAAACCTGTTCAGGGAATACCTCTGGGAGGCAAAAGCTGGGCCTGCAGAGGCCACTGGGAGGCAAGAGATGGGCCTGTCCAGGTCATTGGGAGGCTGAAGGTGGGCCTGGAGAGCTTGACTTGACGCAGTTTTGGGCCTACAAAGGCTACCAGAAGCTAGGCAGAAGCTGAGCCAAAAAAGATGTGAGGCAGGTGCTGGGCCTCTAGGCATAGCTGGGAGGAAGAGCTGGGCCTTGTGAGGCTGGCTTGTGGACACTTTTGGCCCAGATAGGTCACCCAGAGGCAGGAGCTGGGACTAAAAAGGCCACTGTAAGGGAGGAGCTAGGCCGGTACAGGCTGCCAGGAGGCAGAAGTTGGGCCTCAGGAGGCCACTGTAAAACAGGAGCTGGGTCTTGGAAGGTGGCCATGAAGCAAAAGCTGGCCCTTGGGAGACCGATGAGAGGCAGGAGCTAGGCCTGGTGAGGTTGACTTGAGAAAGTTCTGTGCCTGGAGAGGAGGCAGGGAGGCAGGAACTGGGCCTAAAGAGACCACTGTAATGACGAACCTGGGCCTATGGAGGCTGCCATGAGGCAGTAGCCTCATTTGAGGAGACTACTATGAGGTAGGGCATGCGCATAAATTGGCCATTGTGAGCCATGAGCTTGGCCTGTAGAGGCCGACATGGAAAAAGTTCTGGGCCTGGAGAGGCTGCCAGGAGGTAGGAGCAGAGCCAAAAAATTCAAGCATATTACATTTATTTGGCACTTTATTTCCACTATTATGTTGTAATATATAATGAAATAATTATAGAACTCACCATAATGTAGAATTAGTAGGCATGTTAAGCTTGTTTTCCTACAACTAGATGGTCCCACCTGAGTGTGATAGGAAAAAGTTACAGATCATCGGGCATTAGATTTTCACAGGGACCACACAACCTAGATCCCTCACAATAGGGTTCATGCTCCTAAGAGAATCTAATGCTGCTGCTGATCTGAGAGAAGACAGTGGTTAGGCGGGAAAGTGAGCAACAGGGAGTGGCTGTAAATACAGATGAAGCTTCCCTCACTAGACATCACTCACCTCCTGCTGTGTGGCTCCTTACAACTCCATGGCTCAGGGGTTGGAGCCTGCTGCTCAAGTACATACAAAAGGACCCTTTCCACACCAGTCATTATAGTGGTCAAGTGCAGCAACAACTTAGCTCCCAAGGCATGTGCCTCAGCTGGCATTTCATCACAATCAACAGTAAGTGGTAGCCTGAGTCATTGTAAGGTCAATTCCTGGAAATCACCAGCATCCCATTTCCTATTGGCAAAAAGCTCAGCACTGTCCCTCGGATAACCAAATCTATGCCAAAATCGCATTTGTGTGGGTTTATCTCCTGGGACCCTTCCTAGCATCAACTCTGTATTAGAGTCCAGTCACGAGACATAAACTACTCAAAAGTTTAAAGTGGTAAAATTTAATACAGAGAATTATTCATTATAATGGGAACAGCATAATGAGATTGGCTAGCATAAAGTAAAGAGAACTCTAGAGAATATAGGACTAGCCAAGGCCAGGCACAGTGGCTCATGCCTGAAATTCCAGCAACTTAAGAAGCCAATACAGGAGAATTGCTTGAGGCCAGGAGCTAGAGGCTGGCCTGGGCAGCACAGCAAGACCCTGTCTCTATCCAAAATAAAGAAAAAAATTAGCTGGGTGTGGTGGCACACACTTGTGGTCCAAGCTACTCAGGAAGCTGAAGAGGGAAGGTAGTTTGAGGCTGGGAGGTCAGGGCTGCAGTGAGCCATGATTTATGCCACTATAGTCAAACCTGGGTGACAGAGCAGGACCTCGTCTCAAAGAACAAAAAAACAAAGACAGCCATTTACAGACAGAAAAGAAATAGAGCTAATAAACTAAGATAAGGAAAGGTGTTGAAATGTGACAAATAAATAAAGCAACATGAGGTCTTTTCCCTATTTAAAATAATTTTAAAAACTTATTAAATTATAATACTATGTGCTGGCAAAGGTGCACTGAAACAGGCACTTTCTTATACTATGGGGGGTGTTTAAATTGTATATAAGCCTTCCAAGGTAAAGCTTGGCAATTTTTTTTTTTTTTAGATGGAGTTTCACTCATGTTACCCAGGCTGGAGTGCAATGGCGCGATCTCGGCTCACTGCAACCTCCACCTCCTGGGTTCAGGCAATTCTCCTGCCTCAGCCTCCTGAGTAGCTGGGATTACAGGCACGTGCCACCATGCCCAGCTAATTTTTTGTATTTTCAGTAGAGACGGGGTTTCACCATGTTGACCAGGATGGTCTCGATCTCTTGACCTCCTGATCCACCTGCCTCGGCCTCCCAAAGTGCTGGGATCACAGGCTTGAGCCACCGCGCCCGGCCGGCAATTTTTTAAAATAATAGAGACAGTGTCTCTATTACCGCCTCCTCCAGCTTCTGGCCTCAAGCAGTCTTCCTGCCTTAGGCTCCCAAAGTGCTGGGATTATAGCTGGGAGGCACCCAAAACCTTGTCAGTTTACATCAAGGGCAATGAGAAGGTCCATTCACCATGACTCACAGTAATCTCACTTCTGGAAATACCTTGGGAGACAATTCAATCTAAACAAAAGGTCACCTGCACAAACACAGTGAAAATCTGGGAGTAATTTAAGACAGAGTGGTTAAGTGAAATAAGAAACAGTTAAAAGAAATTAAACTATGGTATTTATAGGCACCTGGTAAAAGATCAGTTAATGTTATCTGCCAGTTTTTTTTTTGTTTTGAGACAGGGTCTCACTCTGTCACCCAGGCTGGAGGACTCCCTGGACTCAAGTAGCTGGAAGTACAGGCACATGAAACCACACTAGGTTAATGCATGTCTTTTTCTGTAGGGATGGTGACTCCCTTTGTTACCGAGGCCTGTCTCAGACTCTTGGCCTCAAGCCATCTGCCTGCCTCAGCCTCCCAAAGTGTTGTGATTACTGGTGTGATCCACCACACCTGGCCAGCTGCTACTTGTATTATTATTCCACTCAATTAACAATTATTTGGCATTAA